CTATTTGTTTGTCTATCCCCGGCCACCAAGCATAGCTCCTGGCCAGGGCTTTCATCTTGACGACCCCTGGGTGTCCCTCGTGCAGCAATGCCAACACGCTGTCTCGCAGTGTTTCTGGTATAACCACCCGGTCGCCCCAGAGAATGCAGCCCTTTTGTGAGAACAGCTCAGTTTGGCGGTTTCTGAAGGGTTTGAAATATTCGTTACCTTCAACTTCTGGCCATCCCCGCTCTACCCAGCTCAGTACCCGCGCCAGCCGTTTGTCTTTATTTGTTTCATGGGCAATGTCTGGCACGGTTAAGAGCAGGCACGGCATGGTCTCGATCTGTAGGGTCGTCGTCGTGGGTGCCGGGTCGTCGTCTACGTCCGGTAGCGGTGCCCGGCTTAGTGCGTCTGCGTGTAGGATGGTCTTACCGGGTCGGTGTGACAGCTCGTAGGAGTATGCTGCAAGGAACTCGGACCACCTCGTCATCCGGGGCGATAGGATGTTCGGGGTGGCCTTGTTCCCTGCGAGTATTCCGAGCAGGGGCTTGTGGTCCGTTATGATTGAAAAGTTCCTGCCGTAAAGGTATTCGTGGAACCTCTTGACTCCGGCGACGATGGCGAGGGCTTCTTTGTCTAGTTGACTGTATTTTCTTTCCGGTTTTGCTAGTGTCCGGGAGAAGAAGGTGATGGGTGCTTCCTTCCCGTCGGGTAGGGTGTGGCTGAGGACTGCTCCTATGCCGAAGGGTGAGGCGTCGCAGGTTACCGAGAGCGGGAGGGTCTCGCTGTACTGAATCAAGACTGCGTCCGATGTTAGCAAGTCCTTGGTTCGTTGGAACGCAGTCTCCTCCCGCTTCCCCCAGGTCCAGGTGGCCGCCTTATCGAGTAGCCGGTGTAGGGGTTCCGCCACGGTCGCCTTTTGGGGTAGGAAAACATTGTAAAAGTTAAGCAACCCCAAAAATGCTTGTAGCTCCGCCTTGTTGGTTGGTGTGGGGGCTTCCTTGATGGCCCTGAGTTTCTTCCCGGTCGGGTGTATTCCGTGCCGGTCCAGAAGGTACCCCAGGAACTCGACCCTCTCGGTGTGTAGTTGGCATTTGTCCCTTTTGACCTTAAGGCCGGCGTTTTTGAATTTGTTAAGCTGTTGGGTATATGGATACACCAACCAGGTTTGGGTTGAATAAATATGTAAACCTAGGTTAAAGTTTTTTGTAGCTTTAAGCACAAGAAACTGCAATGTCATTGTGGGTGCGGTTCCAGGCAGCAATATAGGTAGGAAGGGAAACGTAATAGCCCCGGCTTCTGGATGCAACTGTCTGAGTCACTGGCTGCTGGATGCACCTGGTTCTGTTCCTGGTCTGCTGCCTGCTGGAACGTCCGTCTGCTTGCTTTTGGAGGCTACTATGCCAGATACCATTTCAACTGAACACAAGGACTGTTTGCCTGGTGAGCTGAGGATTCAGCGTTGTCTTTGAGAGAAAGGTATCGGGAGGAGAAGATTTACAAGCAGATAAAGACATTGTATTTACTGTTAATGGACTTGATAACTGGATGAATATACTGGATAATGATATATGGACTGAATGACACTTCTTAATCTCTGTGTGCAATAAATAACTATTTTAAAACCACAAACAGTGTTTTTGTCTCCAGTGTGTGTATACTCTTGGGCCCACTCTCTCTCTCATTTGCCTGCCTGGCTTGACTGCTGCTGCATACTCTGCTTGGGGGTTTATCCCCAAACACTAACATAAGCACCGCCCTTAAACGGGTCTCCAACTGTTCTCTGTCGGCAGCTGCGATCAGCACGTCGTCAAAGTAGGGAACCACCCCCTTGATGCCCTGGAGGAGCCTTTCCATGAGGCTTTGGAAGACTCCTGGGGCGACGCTGACTCCGAATTGGAGTCGGTTGCAACGAAAGGCCCCCCGGTGCGTGACAATCGTTTGCGCTTCGGCTGTCTCCGCGTCGACCGGCAGTTGTTGGTAGGCTTGTGCCAAGTCGAGTTTTGCGAAGACCCGGCCTCCCCCCAGTGAGTGCAGGAGGTGCTGCACCACTGGGACGGGGTAGGCGCTTTGCTGTAGCGCGTGATTAAGGGTAGCCTTATAGTCCCCGCAAATTCTAATGGAGCCATCGGGCTTGATGGGGGTAAATATGGGCGTCTCCCAACGGGCATGGTCGATGGGTTCTAGCACCCCCTGCGCGACGAGCTTGTCTAGTTGCTCGTCGATTTTTGGCTTGAGCGCAAAAGGCACTCGCCGGGGTTTTAGGCGGATAGGGGCGACATTGGGGTTAAGGTTGAACGATATAGGGGGCCCACGGTACTTGCCTAGCGAGTTGTCGAAAACTTCCTGGAAATCCCTCACGAGGGTCGCTTCCCAGTCGGCCGTGTCCGTGCGGTGGATGCCGGTTACTTCGATGCCGAGCGGGGCGAACCATTGTAGGCCGAGCAAGCTGGGGCGGTCCCGGTCCACGATCGTGAGCGGCAAGACGTCGGTGTGGTTCTTGAACGTTACCTTGAAGTGCCCAATGCCGACTACAGGGATGCGGTTTCCCTGGTAGTCTTTCAGGATTAGCTTCTGGTCGTCCAGCTCGTTGCGGCGGATGGTCAGGACCAGGCGCTTGATTGTGCACCATGAGACCATTGAGAGGAAGGACCCGGAGTCCACTTCCATCTCGCAGGGCCGGTCCTTGATGCTCAGGGCCACGTGTACCTTCCGGGCATTGGTGGTCGATGAATGGCCAATGACGACTGTCTGATGGGTTTCTTCACGCCGCTGCGCCTCGCTGAGTCGTCGGCTCCGGTTGTCGCGGCTCCACCGGCTCTCTGTGGGTCGGTCTCGGTGTCTGGGTGGGGTGCCGTCCCGTCGTCGTGGGCTGTTGCCTCGGCGCTGCGGGCTATAGCTCTTCTTGTTCCGGCACACCTTTGCGATATGCCCCCGCTTCTCGCAATGCCTGCAAATGGCGTCGAGAAAACGGCATTCGGAGCGGGGGTGATCGCCGCCGCAGCCGGCGCACCGGAACCCCGACTTACGACTCCGGTGGTCCCGGCGATCGCGCTCGGTTTGCAACCGATGGATCTCCTCGTCCTCGTCCTCGGTATCAGACTGTGATTCGAGGTCGCCATGGTGTGCGGTCGTCTCTCGCTGGCTGGTGTCCTGGGGCTTCGCGGCGGCTGGGGTCGCCTCGTTGGTCGGTGGCCGTTCCGGCGCGTTGGTTTGTCTCATCCGTGCTGCGGACTGGCGGGTGGCTTCGGCGGCGGTGGCCTCGGCGAGGGCGTCGGCGAGGGAGATGTTGCCTCTGGCCATCAGCCGGCTCTGCAGCACGGGGTCTCGGAGTCCGAGGACGAGTCGGTCCCGGATCGCCTGGTCCAGCTCGGGGAACTCGCAGGGGCCTCCCATGTTCCGCAGCTGGGCCACAAAATCGCTGATGGACTCGCCTTCGCGCTGGTCCCGGTGGTAGAAATCATACCTGCGGATGAGGATCGGCACGGTGGGGGCGTAATGGCGGCGCAGGATGGGCTCGAGATCAGCCCAATCCATCTCCTTGACGTCCGCGGGCCTCGCGAGTGCCTTGGCCATTTTGAACACCGCGGCCCCACAGTGCGTGAGGAATACTGCCCGCTTCCTCTGGCCGTTGGCGTCCTTGAGGTTACTGCATTCCAGAAACATCTGGAAGCGGTCAATATAGGACTCCCAGTCTTTGGTTGCTGGGTCGAATGGAGCGGGTGGCAGGGTACTGGCCATCTTGTAGGCGCTGGTCACCGATGCCACATGCTAGTTGGTCCTCGCCTCACGATCCCACCCTCGTCGCCAGTGTTAGATTCGGGATCGGGTCACAAAAGAGGCGAGACACTTAGTGAACATTCAGCTCTTTATTTCAGCTCTGGATATGGACAAAGGAAAGTGTGTAAACCCGCTTGGCTTTATACAGCCGGCCGGCGGCTCGGCGGCCAATAGCAGCGCTTCGAATCTCCCGCGATCGGCTCGGCCAATCGCGGTAGATTCCTAGCGCTCCAATCACGGCCAGTCAGTCAGCCAATCGGGCTTCAGTCCAGGTGGGCCAATCAGGGTGCGGGTTTTCCAAGAATGCTAATACAGAACAAAAGGCTTTACAGAAGTCTATGTAGATTGCAGCTATTGCTTTGCCCTGATCGAGTTGTGTTGTCCATATGTTTTTGCAGTGTAAGATATATATTTCATGGGTAGATTCTGCCGTAGGAAGAACTGCCTCACTGGATGACAAAGGGGGGGTGGACAGAGAGGTAGCGAGAGGGAAACCTTTCCTGCTACTCCCAAGCCCATCATCCCTGCCCTTCCCACTCCCGGGCACTCCTCTTTCCCGCCCTTTCTACCCTCCTGGCCCTATGCCCCAGGTCCACCAGGGGGCGCACTTAGCCAAGGGAAGGGAAATCCAGGTGCTTCCCCATTGGGCCACTGGAGGGCGAACATCAGGGCTGCCAGTCTAGAGGCGGCAGCGAAGGAAGCGACATCACTTAAAGGCTTGCCACTCTAGGACGCCGCACTCGCTCTCCTCAACCCCTGGAGCTCGCGGGAGAGTCCGGCGGGGGGGGACATCCAGATGTGCCCCTGGTGAGGGGGGGCTCTTCCCGAGTCCCATGCTCCCCAGCCGCCCTCTCCATGAGAAGTGGGGGGGGGACCCTGGGCCCTGCACTGGGAGAAGCCGGTTGGGGAAGGGGGTGCAGGGGCTGAATCCCCCTTTCTGATCCTGGGTGTTGGTTTTTCTCTCCCTCCCAGATCCGGGACCTCGGAGCCCTCGGAAGCCTTTGCAAGCCAGGATTCCCTCGGCGAGGGAAGGAAGGAAGCAGAAGGACCGGCAGGGATCCGTCCTGCTGCCCCAGAAATGGTCCCATGAAGGAAGAGGCCCCTGGAGAGCCCCCCAGGGTCCCTGCAGCCCTTTGGAGATGCTCTGCCGGAGAGAAGAAGGATGGAGACCCCCCCCTTTGTCCAAGGAGGGGAACAGAAAAGACCTCACAACTCTTCAGCCTGGGAGCCATGGGGAGAGCTGGACCAGAACCAGGCAGAAGGTCCTGCAGGAGGGAACCCTCCTCCCTTCAGAACTTCCACCCTGGACCTCCATCCGATACCGGGAGGCTGAGGGTCCCCGAGGACTTTGCAGCTGACTCCACGACTTGTACAGGCGATGGCTGAGCCCAGGAAAGCACAGCAAAGCCCAGATGCTGGACCTGGTGGTTCTGGAGCGGTTCCTGGCTCTCCTGTCCCCAGAGATGGAGGGCTGGGTGTGGGAGTGTGGAGCAGAGAGCAGCTCCCAGGCGGTGGCTCTGGTGGAAGGCTTCCTCCTGAGCCAGGCGGAGGAGCAGAAGGAGCAGCTCCAGCGGCAGGTGGGAGACTTTAGGGAGCTCGGAAGGGAATAAAGAGAGTGCTTGAATGCTTCACCCCTCCTTCCCAAACTTCTCCCACATTCATAATATGAGGCAGTTCTCCAGTTCTGGTACGATGTTGTTCCACTGTTTTCTCATTCAGCCGGAGTGAGAAACGGATGGATATTGGGGGCTTTGAAGTTGTGTTCCGAATAGAAGAATCCACTTTATGTCTTGTGACGTATATTAATTCCGCTTCTTTTTTTCCTTCCTCCTATTTGAAGTGCTGCAGTGTGGAGATCAGAGATCCTGAGGGAAGGAAGAACCCATCAAATCCCCCTCAGGAGCTATTTTTCAGAAAGATCCCTTGGGAAGATCCAAGACAGAACCCCTCAGGAGGTAGTGGAAGATCCTCCGATTCCCCATCTGTCTTCCCTTCGCTCTCACTTCTCTCCTAGAGAATACCTCCTCCTATTT